ATGTTATACTCAGAGGCTCTCTCTCGGTCTAACTCACTGTCTGTCACCAGTGTATAAAACTCATTTGAGGACATTTTTATAACAAATGGTATGTTTTGACTCATTCTACAGTTCACTCGCCCATTGTTACTTGAATCTGGATCACTGACACTGAACATAACTATAACTGTGTTATATGGGGAGTCTTCTGGGATAGTATCAGATTTTGACAATATACTGATTACAGGCTTGTTATCATTAATGTCAATAACGTCAACAATAATCTTACTGGAGTCAGAAAGACCACCACTATCTTTAGCCTCAATGTCTATTTGATAAGACTTAGCTTTTTCAAAATCAACATCACTAACTAAGATAACCTCACCATTTTTATGTATTGTGAATATATCAGACACGCCATCATTTGTAGGAGACACTGCATAAGAAATGTCTCCATTTGTTCCTTTATCTGCATCAGTTGCACCCACTTTTGTTAATATGGTGCCTTTCTGTGAATGCTCCTCTATGACCGCCTTGTAAACTGACTGGGTAAAAACAGGAGCGTTATCATTTACATCCAATACAGTCACGTAAATGTTCACTGTGCCAGACCTCTGAGGTTCTCCCCCATCTACAGCTTTCAACAACAATGATATGTGCTCATCTTTCTCCCGGTCCAGCTGCTTGTGTAACACCATCTCCACCTTTTTACTCCCGTCCGCCTGACTTTCTACTCTCAGCACAAAATGATCTGTCGGTTTTAAGCTGTAATTTTTCACCCCGTTCGTGCCGATGTCTAAATCCACTGCTCTCTCCAGCACAAATTTAGAGCCGACTGTCGCAGATTCGCTGATTTCGAAACGCCTCTCGTCGTTTTTAAAAGCGGGGCTGTTGTCGTTGATGTCTGTAATCTCGATTGTTATTCTGAAAAGCTCCATTGGGTTTTCCAGAATGATCTGCAGATGTAAGGCGCACGGTGTCGTCTGCCTGCAGAGCGCCTCTCTGTCTATCCTTTCCTTCACCAGGAGGACTCCTCTCTCTCTGCTCAGCTCCATGTACTCTGCGCTGTCGCTCGTGAAGATGCGGGCTTTACCCGATTTTAATCGTTTCACGTCTAAACCCAAATCCCTCGCTATGTTCCCCACCACGGATCCTTTTGCCATTTCTTCTGGAATCAAATAACTGATCTGGCCCGCAGCTGAAGCGATACAGAGGAAGACGCGCAGCAGTACTTGCCGTTCCATTGTTCTCCCTGCGGCGCACAATCCTCCCAAAAATAACCGTGTCAGCTCGGTTTTATGAATAAGAAACAATAAATTCCACTCGTATATAAGTAAACAAATAAATATCCTTGAAATCCAGACCAGTAAAGGTGATTTTAAAGGTTAAAAGTATCCACAGACAGCAGGAAAACGTCCCGACGCAGCCGCTGCGCTCCTTTCTTTCTCTAACACAACACGACAAGTGGGGGCAGCTTTAAATGCGTCCAATAACTGCAACACATAGTCCAACAGCGGCCCGTCGAGCTGAAGCTGCACAACTGCAAGAGTTGTGCATTTAATAAGTGAGTGATGCATATCTCGGACTAAAATTAAGATATTGAACATTTCATTTGTAAACACTATGAGTCGTTCAAACAAACGTCACAAGAAGGTTCATGGGAAATGTGAAGTAAAAAAAAAAAATAACGCTGTTCAGACAAGAGATGAAAATGATTTAATTCTGAATAAAATGGTGAAATAAATCATCGAGGTACAAAATAATATTTAGACAATTTTCCATTTTCTACTAATCTCCTTATTTTTTATTTTTGTATATATATATATTAAAAATAACCCACGTATGTTATCAATATGGAACAATAATTGTTTGGCGAGTTTACAAAGATTATTGTGAACAGTGGCTGAACGATAAATACAAACGCTGTCATGCACCATTTTACAGCTCAATTGTTTTCTCCTCCTCAAGTTTACCCAATAAATTTATTTGCAAAACGTCTGTATGATGAACTTGTATTATATATATATTTTCTTTTTAATAATATCGTAGTAGTCCAGCTATTTGTTGTAGAAAATACCATTAAGTATGACTATTGCCTCTGCTCCCAAAGCTGGTTACAGGTGTAAATTGGCTGTTCAATCACCAGGAGAGGGCGCATTAAATAAGCAGGTGAGCTTCTCTTGACCTCATTCCGTCTTTAGTGTTTCTGACTTCCGGGTTACCTGGCAGTGCTGTTTTGTGCACAGTGCGCCTGCTCAGCGTGCACGCATCACCTGTCTAGTACTCGGTGTGGTGTTGTCCACTAAAGGTTTGGACATATTTGCTGCTTTGCTCATTTGAATACAACTTTGAATATTGTTTGCCTTTTTTTATGCTTATTTTGATTAATGCCGGGTCAGCTGGTTCAGTCGGATCCCAGCTGTCCTCTGCTCGGGCCTGTCTTGGTGGACTTTCACAGCCTGAGTCACTTATCATAATTAGGCAGTGTCTTACCTTAGAGAAGATTGACTGACCTAAATACTGTGGCCATTTCTGATTATTTTGTATGTACGTGAATGTGAGGCCCATAATATCTTTTCTTTGCAGTTAACTATTAGCCATATTTAGTTATTGTATTTCATATTTTTGTTCCAGGTGAAGGCTGAAGGTGTCTCCTGTCTGCTGTTGGTTCCCTTGTGTTTTGTGCTGTGGATGACTGGTCCCTTCCCCTTACATGCCATGCGTCACAGCTTTTTGGGTGAATTTCTGTTATTTGTGTTGTAGTGAACAACCCTTTTGTCTTTTTCAGTTGACTGGCCACTGCAAAGCCTCAGCCTTGGCTGACCTTTTATTTTGTTAAAAGTCACTAATGCCTCCATTAAATTTTGTTTTAACAGATTTTAATAAACATTATTATATCTTGGATCATCGTTTACTGCTTACTTTGTAACAAACCCAACTGCCTTTTGGTATATAAATTATTTCCATGGCTGAAAGTCCTAACGTGGTGTTGCTGTAAGTTAAAAAAATAAAAATAAAATAACACCCATACTCCCAAGCTTGACACATTTAGGAAGCAAGATTACATGTTCTTCCTGTGCAAGAGTGGGTTCTCTCCATGTGCTCTAGTTTTCTCCCACAACCAAAATGTGCAAACAAAGATCCATCCATTAATTATCCTTACCCGCTTCTTCGTTTTAGGGTCGCGGAGGTCACTGGTGCCCATATCGAGCTATTACTGTGCGAGAGGTGGGGGACACCCTGGACAGGTCTCCAGTCCATCACAGGGACATACAAACGAGACAAACACGATAATTTAAAATTACCAGTCAGACTAACATGCATGTTTTTGGTCTGTGGGAGGAAACTGGAGTACCCAGAGAAAACCCACGCGTGCACAGAGAGAACATGCAAAATCCACACAGAAAAGGCCCCAGCCAGGATTTGAACTGGGGTGATCTGCTCACTAAAAGGCGACAGCTCTACCAACTGTGCCACCGTGCTGCCCACAAACAAGGCTAGCTGGTCAATTTAAATTGTCCCTAGGTGTGGATGAGCATTTGGATGGTTTTGGTCTCGTCGGCTGTAATTTACTTGTGACCTGACAATCAGTGGTACACTGCCTCTCTCACAGTGGAGATGGATAGCAACCCCGAAATGAGAAGGGGCTGGTTTAAAAAAAAAAAAAGATACCAGGGACAATATATTGAAAAAACAATTTCCAGAGATGAACACTGCGATCGAAGCAGTGGCTAAAAGTCTTATGAAAGTCATGAAATAATTTGAATAGTCCATCTTTAGGTAAACTTAAATTAAACAAGTAAAATAAATAAATATAAATATGGAATGTGGAAGACGAAAGGAGATTGATAAAGAGTCTGGATGAAAAACCTTGTCCAAAGTACTGAAGGTGTTTCTATCTAAAAGGATCACGAAGAGTGGAATTTGTTCTACAAGTATGAAAAACTATTTAAAAGCTCTGCAACATATATATATATATATATATATATATATATATATATATATATATATAATAAAACATAATATATATTTGCATATTAAGATGTAAAAAAGCATAATCTTCAAAGAAAACAAGCAAACAACAAAAAGAGTCTAACCTCTAGAGGAGAGTCAGGTTGGTCCAGGAGGTTCTTGCCACTCTGTATCCTCTGCATGGTCCCTGCAGAACTGGGCTCCATTATCAACACGTTCTGACTCGCAGCTCCCCCGA